AAGGGAGTTTAACAGACGAGAAGTACGAGAAAAGAAACTACTAGTTTTAAGGTGTGCTATATTTATGGGATAAAGTGCTCAATATCGGAGATAGAGCGTATGTAAATATAAATATAAAAGTGAAGATTAAAGTCAATACTCAGAGGCGACATGCTTGCGCATAGCATGAAACAGCCTGTCGCCTTACTACAATGTTGACTTATATATATATATATATATATATATATATATATATATATATGTGTGTGTGTGTGTTAGCTCTATCTCTGATATTGAGCGCTTTCTAATAAGTACCGCGCATATAATATATAAATAATTATATATATATTTATTTATATTTATATACACACACTTTTCATATATATATATATATATATATATATATATATATGTATGTATGTATGTATATGTATATGATGGAAACAATTTTGCATGTATTATTGAATACGCCCTACAAGCAATACGTATTTTGTTACTTTTTTAATGTAGTTTCGAATTGTTGCTTCAAATCTATGCAGAAATCGTTCATAGTTCTTCTCTTTTATTCTAGAATTTTCGAACATTTTCTAGTCGTCCTCAAGAACATGGAACCGGTGTTATTTATCAGAAGTTTGCTGATGAACTCAAACTGATGTTGAACTGATGCTGCTGTTCGAGAATATCATGATTTCCGCTTAGTCTGGAAACAAGCATTCCTTCACTTGAAGCAAAACGAGAGAAACTACATAAAAATAACAAAGTATTGGTCTGAGACGCCAAATACATATATTTTTCAGCCAATCAAAAATATGAAAAAAAAGACTACAAGTTCTGGAATCCCCTCACATCTAATGACTACAACGAACTATCAATAAAGTCTCTTTCAGTTTAGATACGGATGAGTTGAAAGCCTTTGAACTGTAAGGACACTGTAGTCACGTGACGATGCCACAGCCATAACATGCGAATCAACATTAATCCACAAAACCTACGGACTTGATAGTATTCCTGCAATAGTCCTTAAGAAATGTGCTCCTGTACTGGATCCTGTTCCTCTCTACAATTAATACTTTGCTGATTCTGGTTTCTCTGCTTATTGGAAATCCTCTTCTCAGGGGAACCATCTGATTCTTCTATTAGCCTGGTTTTTTTTTTTTTTGGTTTGTTTTTTTGGGTTTTTTGTCAACTGCTGGGGTTTTAATGATTATTGCTGAAAGAATCTATCAAGCTTTTTTTTTTTTAAAAAAGGATCTCAGTTCAGGATGTTGATTTGGATATGTTGAAGGCATTTAACAAGTTTTGGCATCGTGGTCTTCTTCACAAGTTGAAAGTTTATGGTAATTCTGGACGAATTTTTGAACTGACTGCGTCTTTCTTATGAAATCACAAAATGGAACTTGTCTTGAATTGCCATTCCATTTGATATTTTACATTAATGCAGTTATCTCCCTATCCTTGAACCCACGTCGTTCGTAATTTTCATAAATGACATTCCTGATTTCATCAGTTTTCAACTCGACATCTATGCTAATAACACATGTATTTAGTATGTCTTACTAAGGTTCGTATGGGCACGTGGCCGAGGGGTTAGAAAGGAGACTTCCTGATGTTATCGGTCTGTGGGGTCGATCTCAGCGTGCGGGACCTTTGGAAAGTTCCTGAAAACCATACCATGGTTTGACCCAAGACTTGTGAGTGAAACTGGATAACGGAAACCTTGGGGCCGTCGACAGCTGTGCTAGCACGAAGTCACAAGTCATCGTGGCCGAGGGATTGAGCGTGCTGGCCTTGTTCAAATTATTGATCCCGCTAGTTAATACGGGTATCCTCGAGTACGAGTTGCCATATATACAGTAAGGTTAGATGAGGTCAAATTGACAGTTTATCTCCAAATCTGTTGTTAACTGGGACAAGTAATGGCTCGTTAATTTTAACGCACCCAAAACGAAACTACTCTCCTTTAATCGTCTGAGGGGACTATTTTTAATTTCCATCAGCATGTCTGATGCTAACCTCCCGAAGAGTGACTTATTGCGCATTTTCAGACTAACGTTTCCTGCTGACATACAGTGGAAAAACTTTATTGAAGAAACTGCTTGGTCTACTGCTAGGATTTATTTAGTTTACTGGGTCGTGATAGACAATTTTCACCCAAAATCTATCTACATATTTATTTATAAGTCAATACCAGCGTACGGCACCTTTGGAAAGTGCCTGAAAAGCAGGCCACGGGTTGACCCAAGCCTTGTGAATGAAATTGGGTAGAGGAAACCCTTTGGACCGTGAATAGTCGTTCTAGCACGAAGTCACAAGTCATCGTGGCCGAGGACTTGACCTTGTTCAAATTGTTAATCACGCCAGATAATACGCGCTTTCTCAAAGATTGTAAATCATTTGTAAATGCTTTGAATAATACTGCCAAAATCTGCAAATTGATTGGTCCTGACTGCGAATCTCTGCTTCGATCACTTTTTCACCGCCTGATGAAATTTCCTCTATGGTACTTAGACCTCTTGAACTTAAGCGTAGTACCAGGTTGGCGACAAGATCTCATTATTTTACGGTTGAAATGGTTTGTTATAAATATTCTAACAGTTTCTTCTCTCGCAATTCTCGCTTATAGAACGTTCTTCCGGTTTCTTGTTTCCAAGTAAACTTTGATCTTCAAAGATTTGAGTGCAATGTGAATGTTATGTTCTGTCTTTTTAATTCATGTTCTTTTATTATTCCCTCAATAGTATTTTTTTATTTAACATTCAGTAACCCGCGTGCTTCTTAGTGATTTTATTGCCTTGCTTGAGATGAAATGATTTTTTTGTTAAAATTCAAACTTCGGACAGTCAAATTTGTACCGAGTTAAATTAATTTCAAATATTAGGTCTATATGTGCTTATACGTGTCACTTATCTTTTTTTTAAACTGTGAAAAATATAGGCAATTCGTTAATTGCTCATGAAATTGTATGCTTATACATACATACATACATACATACATATACATACATATATATATATATATATATATATATATATATATATATATATATATATATATATAAATGGACAAAGTCCCACAATTTATTTATTTAAATTTATTTATAAAAGAAACGTTAAACATAAAAATGTCTTTAATATATATATATATATATATATATGAAAGACAGGATGTGCGTGTGTGTGTGTGTGTGTGTGTGTGTGTGTGTGTGTGTGTGTGTGTGTGTGTGTGTGTGTGTGTGTGTACAGAATGCACAGCCGCAATTTTCGACGGATTTGCACCAAAATTTATATGCACATGCTCCAAGTTAGCGGGAAGACCAACACCGACTTTGCATTTCCCAACTCCCATCGATAGTGGAAATAATCGATTTTTTCATGCTTCTATGGCTATTTTCTACTGGCGAGAGTGAGAGCCTATAGCTGGCTGCCAGGAATAGGCAGGAAGATTCTATTGGCCAGCGTGAGATGCAACAGCTGACTGACAGGAATGTTAACTAGCATGCTAGCATGCAAAAAAATCGATAGCTGCATTCGTCACAAGTGGGAAAAATTTAAATCTGCATGGCACTTTACTCCAATTGGCTCATTCGCTTGCTTAAACTCAACGTTGATTCTGATTCCGCAGAACTGGGTTGGGTGTGAAAAAGTATTTGTTGTTAACATTCTTTTTTCATTCGGTTTTTCCAGTTACGAGTCCTTTTTTAAAGCTGATCGTTTTGTGTTCATTTTGTTTAGTTCTTTTTTCGTAAAAGATTTAATGTTTAGTATAGAGCTTAGAAAAAATTCGCAGTGTGAGATAGGCAAGAAGTAAGGCATGTAGCAACATCAGCACGGCCAAGGGCACTCATTTAAAGGCAAGGAAGAGCAAAAATATTTTAAGGCAAGTGATAGCGATTGTTTTATGAGTCGTACGATTTTGAATCAAGCACGGGCAACGCCGGGCCATGCTGTTATATATATATATATATATATATATATATATATATATATATATATATATATATATATAATCCGTATGGATATTTCCAAGGTGGATGTAATAAAGAGAGCTCAATGTAAAACAGAGCAAATATTAGTTATATTAAAAAACATACAACTTTAAGGGTTATAATTTATTTCCTTAGGACCGGGAATTGGTCCTAATTCATCAGATTTCCATTTTCATACAAAAATATTGGTGATTAATTTTTTTTCCAGGCTTACATGTTATTTTTAATTTATGCTCACATGTATATACTATATAAGCGTGCAAATTCATTTTTTTTAAATAGGAATTTTAGAAGCCGATCTATTTTCTCAAAGTTGGAAAGTGTTAAATCGGTGGACATTTCAAGTTTGGAATAGCGGAGGGGAATTTGTTTTTAAGAAGATTGTGTTGCGCCAATCGACACCCTCAAATGGAAGGGCTCTTTCACTTTAAGAATCATCATACGAAATCCAGTCATCTCATCATCTACCACTTACCTCTTTTCAAAACATCATCTCCTGCTCTCCTACCCCTTAAATCACACGTGTGCGCGTGTGTCTCTTTGTGTGTGTGTGTGTGTGTGTGTGTGTGTGTCTGCGCGCTCGCTCGCGAGGTTTTCCATTTCCCTCCAGCGCGACTGATTGTTGAAACCAACGCTAGGTCAACTGTCTATTTATTTTGCCTTCAACCTGACCTTTCGGTCGTCTATTCAGTAAACCATTCAACCGGACAATGTGAAATTGTGACCGGAAAAAAAATTACCAGCCCGATCAGGTGTGAGGCTAAAGAATAGTCGAGACAGGCCACGAGAGGAGGGAAGGTCGTTCAGGCCAAGACAAATAAAACGTGTGAATAACAAAGCAGGTGAGAGACGGGAAGTGGGAGAATGTCAAAATGAATAAATAAAAACAAACAAAACAAAACAAAACAAAAAACTCTTCTTTCATTCTTTTTTCCCCCTTTCTTTATTTTCCCCTTCTCTTTTTTCTTCACTTTTCTTTCTTTCTTTCTTTCTTTTCGTTTTTTTTTTCTCGATTTTTTTTATTTATCAAATACCCATGCATTTCAATCAGATCGTAACAACTGATTTCAATCGGTTTGAGCTTTCCTATACAATACGTCCATTCCAATATATTTACATTCTCTGTCTCTGTCTCTATCTACTTATCTATCTCAGATGGTTCTTTATATATCCCAGCCTGTTTCTTACTCTTTTTTTATCTATCTATCTATCTATCTATCTATCTATCTATCTATCTATCTATCTATCTATCTATCTATCTATCTCAGTTTCTTCGCATTTATTTCACTTTCTTTTCTGTCATTATTTTCCTCCTTCTGCCTTAGATTTTCTTTGTTTCTTATTTTCTTTCTTTTTATTAGATTTTCTTTTTTCTCTTTTTCTTTTTTAATTTTTCTTTCTGTCTTTCTTTCTTTCTGTCTGTCTGTCTTTCTTTCTTCCTTTCTGTCTGTCTGTCTTTCTTTTTTCTTTCTTTCTTTCTTTCTTTCTTTCTTTCTTTCTGTCTGTCTGTCTGTCTTTCTTTCTTTGTTTTTTCTTTCTTTCTTTCTTTCTTTCTTTGTTTGCTTGTTTCTTTCTTTCTGTCTGTCTGTCAGTCTGTCTTTCTTTCTTTCTTTCTTTCTTTCTTTCTTTCTTTCTTTCTTTCTTTCTTTCTTTCTAACCTGTCTATCAGGTTTCTTTTCTTGTTTATCGGATTTTTCTTTATTTCTTTTTCTAATAATTTCATTCTCAAATTCTTCTTTTATATTTTGTCTCTTATCAAATTTCAATCTATTTTTTAGATTTTCTTTCTTTTTCTCAGATATTTTTTCATTTTTCTTTCTTTTTCTAATAAATTCTCTTACTTTTTTTCTTTCTTTCTAGGTCAGTCGAACTATTTCATTCCGCATAAGTGAATCCATCTGTTTGCACACGTGTATTAATAACCCATTTGTTTTATACCCTTTTTAATTTTCTCTTCATTTTCTTTTATTTCTTTTGCTCCTGTCCTCTTCCTACCTCTCCTCTCCGTCTTAATGTCGACCGACCCAATAATGCTTATTAATCAGGCAGAAAACTTGCTTCAGCCTATAATGTCTCATTACAAGGCTGTCTGAAATTCGGGTGGCTAATGGACAAAATAACGATGTCCATGATGGACAATGGGTTTCATGGTCGGCATAA